GAGGACTTATACAATACTTTTGCGAAGTAGATATTCATTTTCTTTTTTAAAACATTTTTGTAAAGCTACATGTCTGCCATTACGATACAAAGTTTGAATAACAGCGGAATAACGTCGGCAGCATTCGTAAAGTGAAAGAGGGCAATTGCTGTGGAGCTCGCATTCCGAATGTCCGCTTGTCATTTCACCTTTTTATTTAAGATTAAAAAGGGCGTAAACTAGATTGTTTCCTTCATATCGAATAATAAAATTTGCAACTTCCCCTAGTACGTCTGGTACGTAGCAACACCTTCGTTTCGCTTCGAAATTCATCGTAACTTTGAGCTCTACTATAAAAATGGCTGTGCACGCTTTCAAATTCTTTCACAAAATCACACACATAACACTCCGCGCGTATCGTGAATTATGAGAAAAATAAAAAATAGCTTGAGCAAAAAATGAGGCGTAGCATATACAAGTACATGTTATGAAACGACTTACGTGCTTTGCATTACGTAGAACACTTACACTAACGGGACAGAAAACGATTTAAAATCCACGTCGATGTCCCGTTGACTAGCCGAATATAAATACACTATGGACAAGTGTCAAGTGAATATTTTCGAGCAAACCCAATAAGCTCGACCAGTAGAAAACGTGAAAATAATGTTTACATTCGAGCACCGATATTGTTAAATTATCATTTAGAATATTACGAGTATGTATAAAGTTTTACAACCGTGGTCAACTTTCATATAGCCGTTAAATGATTTTTGTATTTGTATTTGTATTTGTATTTGTGTTTGTATTTGTATTTGTATTTGTATTTGTATTCGTATTCGTATTCGTATTCGTATTCGTATTTGTATTAAGATCGATTTGTCCTAGCTTTCGTACCCAGTGATTCAAATAATTTAAAAAGGCAAATGAAATCCTTTTTATAATCCCTCTACGACACAGTATTTTTTTCATTTTATAAATAATTGACAAACGTAAACATCGATGTTAACTGTTTACTCGTGTCTGATACCACATATGGATAAAAAGGTACTGAAATTATGTAAGTGCGTTGCCGGTACAATAGTAGTAACTAAATTTCGTGTAGAAAATTTCGAGAGTACGTCTTGGACGAAATTCGGTCCGGGTGAACTACCGACCTTGTAGAAGATTCTTAGATTACAAGCTGGATTCTGAGTTTGCGAGCCTTTTGTAAGTTTGCATAATACATATTCGAATGCCTCTGTCAGTTCATCAACGGTCAGTTCTGTAGAAGGTAAATTTGTTTCCGTGGCTAAATTTCCAGTCGAATTGGACGAACCTGTGTTCAAGATAATACGTCTCTTTTATATTCGTGCATATAGAAGAAAGAAGGTAAAATCATATTTATATTTATACTGAAATATATACCAGTAGACATGTAACACACGATTGCTGAAACATTATTTTCATAGTTCCATCTACGCCTTATTGCTACTTTGAAATTACCTACGCATTTTCCAGTCTCTTCGTCTGCAAGTAAAGATTATTATCATTGAAATTTCCTGTAGATGCTACACTACTTTTCTTAAACTTTGTATTGTTTCTTTCTATGAATACTTACATTCAAATCTATTATTATCTCTATGAGCCCACACACACCACTCGACCTGAGCACCGCGCGGAAGGTTTGGTACAACAATATAATCCACGATGGCATTGTTTGTTCGTTTCTCCCATTCCTTTCGTGCATCTGGTATATAACTAGTGTGAGTCAAAAAACAGATACCTTGTACAATATCCCTGAGTTGCGTATTCGAATCCATAGCTTTAACAATACGATTTATATGCCTTAACGTCAGACGACACTGCCTTTTAATGTTTAAGTCCAGTATAGTCATACTACCAGGCACCAAGGGTATTTGTCCAGCAACTGAGATAATATCGCCCACCTGTTAAATAATTACATGTTTCGTTATAATAGTTGGCGTGTTATTGAAACTATGCCATATACTTATTACTGATCAATGATTTAAGTACAAGTCAAAAGTGTGCATAAATTGTTAGTAAACGTTATTTGTAAGTACATTCAACTTATATTACTTATTAATCTCTTAATGTCTTATTGTCATTTTATAAAGAATACTTGATTTTGTTTACCTCACTGTTATGTTTCTTTTTGTAAACCAGATGTGTGTGCGTGCGCGTACGAAAGCGCGCACACACACACACATTCTGTCTACATATACACACAGAGAGACGCGCACGCAAATTCGTTTTTTTTTTAACGGTAGTACACTCACACGAACAGCTTGAGAGTAAGGACCAATGTTTGCTGGTGCCCAGTGACTTATGCTCTGAACATGCATTGTGTGTCGTTTATAAACTGTCTTATCACCACAGTCTTGAGTTTCTTTATAGGCTATAGCGTCAAGTACAACGTGTACATTTAACGGACATTCCACGCATACACGGACCGGTGGATTTATTTTACTCAGCCACGAGATGTAAATTTCATTTATAGATAGATAATTTGACATGTCTTTTATATACAATGTTACGGCAACAATGTCTGATATTTGAAGATTCTCCTTCTTGACTAGACCTAGACAGTCAATATCGTGTCTTATTAACATACACGGAGTACGATGTACGTTGAAATTTATGTGGAAAAAAAAAAGTTAACTAAAAAGTGACTTAAAAGACTCAAAGTTTACCTACTGCTTAATTTCTCCAATGCCTCTCTCATTGCGGATTTCGGATCCGGATGTTTCCCAGCAATACCGCCAAACCAGAACCAGCCGGTTTGATTCTTATTTACTACTGGAATATCAGGATAATCTTCTTCCTCGTATAAAATTTCCATGGGGCTCGGTGGATTGAATTGACCTAAATTGCATTTTCGTATTAGTGCTCTAAAATGAAAATTAACGTTGAATCGCAGCGTTTGAAATTATTACCAGAATTCGACGTTTTCAGACTACTATCTGTACAATCGTGATCATCATTCTCATCTTCTGACAGATTACAGCCGTCGTGTAATTCCGGACCAATGATCTCTGCGATGTAATCAGACGGGACTTTAATAGGAACATTCTTTAATCTCTCTTGTAAAGTTAATCTTTCTATGCCATCCTGAAAATGTTTCCCTCACGTTACTTATAAATTCAAGCGACAAAATAAAACAATTTTCTTACATTCTTATCTTGTACATGTATTTTTTTGAAGTTAAGATATCCGACTGGCGCTATGTTGTCGTTCGGATGTACTACACTTTCATATTCCTCTCTAGAATATGAAACAAATTCATATTAACTTGAATATACGTTTTCAAAAGATATTGAAACTTACATTACAATACTTTTACTAAATAACGGACAATCTAACGTGAACGTTTCATATTCTCCTCCTTCTCCACAAACATTTACACCATACTTTTCTTTCTGTAAAAAAATATATTATGTGCTTGATGCAACTACTTGTTTCTGTTCTTGGCCAACATATCAAATGCATTTATTTACATGAAAGTTGTTTTGTATATATCTTAATGGTCTATTAATACTTGGAACACTGCCAATATTAAATTAAATTGGAGGAAGTATTCAGTTAACATTTAATGTTTTGTGTCAAATTAATCACCAAGACATCTTACTTACTATTTTGGCAAGATGAGATTGCATTTCAGAGATTGGTTTACCCAAATGTCTTGGTTCAAGGCCCAAAGCTGCCACCTTGATTATAACTGCGTTTACAGAACTTTCTATCATTTCTTTTAATAATTCATCCTGTTCTCGTCTCCATAAATATGATAATGAAACAAGTCCTAAACGACTACACCTGAAAATAAACTTTTCCTATTATACCTTTTTATCAAATTTAATATGTTGAACATTGCATTAAATAATTACACATTTTCCACACGAATTCGCTGATAATCACTCAGAATAGCTCCTGATGAAACAGCTTCTATATTTTCTTTTTCCTGTAACAATGAAAACAAATATCCTGAATTTCTTGTTTGCACACCCACTGCACATGTATCACACATCAATGTAACAACCATATTAAAACATAACTATATATTTACCTTTACTTTACTTAACAGCCTAAATAGATCTTCAACTTCATCATTTTCCGTTGGGTAGTAATATTTTTCTTGCATTTTTGATCTACCAAATGTAGGTTCACGATACATTGGTAAACCTATAGCTTCTGCAATATATTCAACACCCTGATACCCAACAGTTTGAAACATAAAAGAGTCTAGCTCATCTGAAAATGTACAATTTCTATGTTGTTCATGTTACTAATTGGCTAAGCTTATGGTAATTAAAGAAATAGACTGAATTTTCACTAAAAACTTATATTTCTTATTTTACCCTTTCCAACAGGATATAAGTTTGCTAAAGCCACTAGATCATGGCCTGCAGCTATACATTGCATCATATTAAAGCAAGAATCTTTACCACCGCTGACTAATGCAACAACTCTCATGTTTCTGTTTTATAGTCAAAATCCCTCAAAATACTTATCAGGAGCTTGGGGTACAGACAAGTCTGAATATATCTTTTCAGACAATCATCTGCAATAAAATTATTAAAAAATCAGTTAACAAGATGATTTTATTGGATTTCTGACAAATAAATTTAATTTATTATAACAGCTGTAGGAGTAATTATAAAAAACATATATACCTAAATACATATTAGTGCATAAATAATTACATGACTTTATCTATATCACATATAAATGCATGTGCAAATTAATAACTAAAAGACACATATTTATACAGACTAATTTTTCATTCTCAACATTTATACTAAAACAAACTATAAATATTCTTTAACAAATATGTGTGTCAAAGGAGAAGGAAACATGACATAAAAAATATTATAATTGTAGGAACATGTGGACATATTTAGGATTACATATGTATACATTGCTCTCAAGTATACATTAAGCCAAAATTAAATTTACGAAATACATACGCACATGTGCTTCTCGTATACCCTACATTATAAATAAGACAATTTAGGTAACAGCATTTTCAGAGAAAATTAGAGAAAACGATTAGTCCTCACTCTTTCTTGATCCAGAATGATTTTAAAAAGAGAAGATCATATGCTATTCCTCTAAATAAAACGATGCAAGAGGCAGAGCCGAAAAAGATACAGGATATTCAATTTAACTTGTTATTACGTGTAACAATTGGCTGGTGAATAAAAATTAATCACTGCAGGATTCTAAACAGTGAATGTCACGAATTCCGGAAGCGATCTCGATGGATCCCAGATTTCTCTCTGGAATATCGCAGGGCGGGGCGAGGCGAAACATAAAATTTGAGTCGAACAAAATGTTAGAAAAAAGATCAGCGATTATTAAAGAAAAAAAGAATACCTACGGAGAAATTTTTTGGTTATCGCCGATCTCGGAGAGATCGAAAAATATTACGAAATGACGCTGAGCAACAAATTGCACGGGGAACGTGAAAGATAATTTTAGGCTTATGTATGCTAAAATAAACTCTAAATTCTCAACAAATGTAATATTTACATTAAATAGGCGACGAAAGTTCCTTACACGGCAAAGTCTATCAGAGACTGCGATTGCTTGATAGTGGCGCCTCTCGGTGATAGACTTTCAACACAAACCGTAACAATTGAGGTTATGATTTATTCCAATTCTGTCGTTGTTTATAATATTCATTGAATAATTTACGTTATAAATTCGACTTTATAATCAATTTTATTCGAAGTTACAATGATATTTTCTCTAAAATTTTACAAGCATTTCGTACACAGAAGAGTTATTGTCGAGAGATTCTCAAGTAAAACTCGTGCGACCATACCTCGTGACATCATCAATGTATAGGATATATCGATACCTTGTTATTTCAATCTACTTCTACGCTATATTTTACTGATTGTAATGCAACTTGAATAAAAATATAATTACAATTTATTGTTTCTTTAAAATATAATTTCCTATTTACGTTCAATATTTTCACACATATATTAAAATACGAATTTAATCGACTACAATATTTTAAACGTAAAGCGTGCATCTGAAGGCATTGGTTTGAAATAGTTTTTAAATTCGTATTACATTTTAATTACATAACTTCAAGTCGTTTGTTAATTAATTTTAACATCACTTGTTTAAAATTTTACTTTATATGTTTTAAATATAGTAAAATGAATATACCTTGGGATAATGCGTATAGTTAAAATTTCAAAATATTCAAGTATTTATTACTACATATCAGTCCTTCTTTGAGAATTACATTTTTAAAATATTATCGTGCTTTCTCTATTGGCAAGATAGCTTTAATTGACATTTAAAGTTTTTTTAATTTTCGCATAAAAGTGTTTGCTCTTATAGAAAGAATATATAATAATGAAAGCTATTTATTCTAATATACAATATCCTGTGCAATTTTTTATCCGCAAAATTTGTATTCAATAAAATAAAGAATATATTCATAAGAATGAGAAGCAATTAATAAAAAACTGGTTTCCGAAGATGCAATTCATTTCGAAATACATTGAAAATATACGTTGCCATCTTTACTTGGTGAATCGTTGGCCAATCGGATCACTTTCAATAAGCGGCCATTTTACTTTCGCTACGGTCGCACGAAGCGTGAGTTAGACTCTGCGGAACACCGTGCAATCGCAAGCTACCGCTTGCATCGTAGATTTTGTGAGTTTTCCGTGCGAAAGGGACCTAATTAGCACAATAATTCGACAAAACGTCCATCAAAGAAAAGCTGGAAGATGGTTTTGGCGGAAAGAAACTCTGAAAATGTTAGAAATGGGCGCAGATCAAGAGGCCCCAGCCCCAATGGACAGACGGAATCCTCAAGTGAAGAAGACGGAGGTACCAATTTTCCATTACAATTGAATTATTCTTATAATCAATTAAATCCTTTACAATGATTGTTTATCAACGCATTACATATATAAGAAACTCTCAATGTGATATTTTTGTTTGAAAGCTTGTATATTTTTCTATTGATCGAATACGAAAATCCGTAAGGATCTTCAAACAGCGCGCCCCACTTTTCCCCTTTTTAAGTTCTGTAGATTTTCAACCAATTCCTACGGTTATTTTTATGAAACAAATTTGAATATTTATTTTGTGAATTACTTAATATTTACATTTGTCACCTTATATTAAATTATATTTCAAAAATATATCATTGATGATAAAATATATTGTGCATTTATAAGTTGAAGTTACTTGTGGACTTAATGATTTATGCATTAGTAGCATATAAATAAAGGAAACTTGCCTTTTAATTAATTTTATATTTGGATACCGTAATTATAAACTTTTATGTTAATTTTATAGTAATATCTACTAAGAGTCATTGTTTTTAAGTTCCAGCAGAAAAAATACGTGTTGGACGGGACTATCAAGTCATTGTTCCAGAATTTGTTCCAGTTAATGGTATGTTTTGATAAAGCATAATGTTATTAAAAATAAGTAAACTGATATTGGTTTAAATAATGCAAAAGGAAGTATTCATAAAATAAAAAATTGTCTTTCAATTTATTCAAACATTCATAGTTATGAATTTTGTATTTTAGAACGACGATTAGATCAATGTCCTGATAGAGCATTACTTGTGTGGTCTCCTACAACAGATATACCTGATCAAAAGTGTAAGTAATATCTATATTTGTTACTTGAATTATAAATTATTCATTATAAATGATTCATAAGCAATTACTTCCTACAGTGGATGAATATATTATATTGGCTAAAGAAAAATATGGTTACAATGGAGAACAGGCATTGGGAATGTTATTTTGGCACAAACATAACTTAGAACGTGCTGTATTAGATTTAGCCAACTTTACTCCATTCCCAGATGAATGGACTGTTGAGGACAAAGTACTTTTTGAGCAAGCTTTTCAATTCCATGGAAAAAGTTTTCATCGTATTCGACAAATGGTACGATATTTTATCTATAAATGAGCATATATTGTTAATTTTTTATAAATTTTACATAATTTCTTTGTTTTAATAACTAATTGCTGTTTCTTCTCCTCCTAGTTACCTGACAAATCTATTGCTAGCCTTGTTAAATATTATTATAGTTGGAAGAAAACAAGAACTAGAACATCATTAATGGATAGGCAAGCAAGAAAACTAACAAGTGGTGGAAAGGAAGGGGAAAATGGAAGTGAGAATGGAAGTGAATTAGGCTCTAATACAGACAGCGAGTCAGAAGAAAAAGTAAGATATTTCATCAAAATATTTAATAAATGCATGCATTAGACATTTACATAAAGTCAATTCTCTCTCTCTCTCTTTTAGAAGAATAATAGTTATATAAAGTTATAAGTATTCATAAAGTTTGTGTTATTCATCAAGACAGAATAACGAATTCGTTTTAGTTGCTTGTTTAATTTTTTATAAACCTAGAGCTTTATATTACCATTTTCGTTTTGCTACATTTCAATGAAGTTAGTTTGTCATAAGTCAGTTAATAATTATGCTACAGCGTGTGGTAGTTATCTCCTTTTGTTGCATCTTAATGCCATGGCACTGGCTTAAAAAAAAACACAAGCGTGATATTGTGATATTTATATGCATTTAAAAAATGTATCCACACGGTAACGTATTCCATGCGGTGAATAAAAGAAAGAAAACAAAGGCAGCTGATCTATAATTGGTAAAAGTTACTAGTATCGAAAATAAAAAATTAAATATAAAATGAATTCGTCCACGTTAAATAATTGGAACTTAAACATTATTAAACTGATCCATCTATTCCGCAATATAATAACAAGAAAAATTTTCTTAATTTTTCAAAAAATAAATCTACATCGCCATCAGTTATACAAAATTAAAGTTATTCTCGTTTTCGTTGTGTCGTGTATGAACGTAAATGTGGAACGTTCCAGAAATGGACGATCCACCGCGGAATACGTCGTGGAAAGAACCAAGCTGTGCCAGGAAGCCAAGGCACTGACGCCAAAGCCCCATCCGACTCGGAAAACGTCCCTCAGGTTCAGGTACTCAGCCTAAACCTTACCCAATTGCATATGCTTATTATATTTTGCTATTTTATGTATCACATTTATTTTTTTTTTCTCTGTCGTGTAAATCCTTTTATCTTAATGAGAAGACAGTGAAGAAACCAGAAAGTAAGAGAACTTGTATGTACAAACAGATTCGTACATTAGCAGATTTGGTAGGCTGAAACCTAACTGAGGAAAAAATATTGAAGTGCGCAAAGCACTAAATACTAGGAAGACACTTATAACAAACAAAATTAGTAACTTAGAAAGAGATTGGCTTTTGATTGCTTGAACAGTTTTAACAAAATTACACGAGTACGGCGTAGATGCGGTACTGCTGAAATGTTATGGCAGGCTCTGTTACAGTTCATAATAATATGCTCCCATGTACATACTTCAATATTTTTGTTCTGTAAAGAGTTTTATCTTAGAGAATTAGTTTAGTTAAATGTAAAAGAGCTCACATGGAGGGAGAGGGTGGGGGGGATGATCGGATTTCATCTTAAAAAGGGTGTTATGTGTTGTAGGGCTCGTGTAGCAACTGTGGCGTTGCTTGTCATAGTGTACGTGCGACGCCGAAAGGACACGCGTGTCACAGCTGCTATCTGCACTGGAGGTCAGTGAGTGCAAGTAAAATTAAATATCTGTAATTAAAAGAAAAAAGAAATTAATTTGAACTTTCCTCAAAGTAAGAATGTTCATACTTAAAATAGTGAATTGAAAATAGTAATATTTTAATATTCACGTTACTCGTACAGATATTTATATGTATGAGCATTCTTATCAGTGCACCGGCTAATCTGTAAAAATACTTTCATTTTATACATACCTGTCCTCTTAATAATGAAATGAATCAGTGCAATATGGATCAAACTTATTCAAATGATTTAGGCGAACCGGTGTAGCAAGACCGTTAAGTTCCATGCCAGGTCGTACAAATAAAAGAAAACCACCTCGTGGCCTGGTCGTTAATCACGATGATTTAGCAGCATTGGCTGGCCAACCGAATCAAGCGAACAACAGTTTACAAGCAATCGACACTGAAATTGTTAGCTTAAAACGACAAGTACGTCTTCAAATCAGAATAATCAGTCCGCGATAAAAGAACGTGTGGATACATTTTTTTCTAAACATACAAAGATAGCTCAGTACTCTTTGATATGTAACGTAGACTATTTATTTATTAGTATACATACTTTCCGATACACAGATACAATCAAATAAACAGCAAGTAAGTGCATTAAAACGCAAAACAGCCGATGGTATTGAAGATTTGCGGCCGCCGGAAGTGTCGAGTCGTATAAACGCTCGTTGGACAAATGACGAGTTATTGTTAGCCGTTCAAGGTGTTAGAAAATATGGAAAAGATTTCTCCGCGATCGCTGATGTAATTGGAACCAAAACAGAAGCGCATCTACGATCATTTTTCGTGAACTACCGGCGGAGGTATAATTTAGATGCAGTTTTAAAAGAATACGAGGCTGAGAATGGCCCGATATTGATTGATGACGAGAAAGAAGAGAAGGTAAAGTATCTTAAATTAAAATAACACGATGCACATTCCATGGCATTAGTTGTTTAATTATTATGAATATGTTTTAGATGGACGTCGATCAACCAAATGAAGCAGCAGAGTCATCGCAAAAGACAAAATCATCCGTTGGTCTTGGACAGACGGCTAAATAACAAATGAGTATGTTGCTGAATACTAAACGCGAGAAAAATAATCACAGGCACTTTGATAATCGATAATATCATAGAAGAAAGAGGTATTTGTCCATAATTCAGTTTGCAATTTACATTTATTTTTATTCTTAGTTGTATCGCTTTGCTCTATGGTGGTGCGATTATACGTTAGGAACAACCAAGTACAAGAAACAATGTTCATTGAACTTGTGCGCGGTACAATGATCCATATAACGAATATATGGACAAATTGATACTGAAGAAAGCGTGTGAATTTATTTAGCTAGACTTATTTTTAGTGTAATATACTTTGTATGTGTCTGAAATGGGATTTTCCTTAAACAGTCTGAAAGAAGCATGGTTCCATTAAAGACATTTACCGTACAATACTAAGAAAAATTTTAAGTTCTCATTAAGTTGATACATCCAAATGCAGGTACAAGCATCATTAATAATATATAAATATATATACTGCACGTAATCATGGATGCACAGTACGATTTTCTTTTGTAAGTAAATTAATTCTATTCTGTAGCACATAATATTTCTAGGTATGCATAATGGACATAACAGTCCTATTTTGACTAATGAAAGTAATTTAAACACAAAAATTACTTGTTTCGAGTGAGGAAAGATTAAATTAATAACGGATGAAGAATCAATAAGATTGTAAAAATATTGAAAAAAATGATATAGTTCGCATCATTAAGAAAGATCGTGTAACGCTTGGTAACAACCATAAACCAAACAGTTTATATACCGGAGAATTAAAATGACAATTTCATGTACGGATAATCAAGGTACCTTGTGACTATTTCATTACTCTAACGATTTTTTACCCGTGCTCAAATATTAACTAGCCACTGTTCTAAAGTTTATGTTGCTGTAACACTGCTACGTTTGTATGGAGTTCAAGTTCTGCATGAATTTCGTGTCAGTTTATCGCATTCTATATTTAATTATTTATAAAAAAACACTTTCAAGGATGTTTAAATAGTTTATGTTACGAAATTTAGATTAAAGAAAGATATAATTAAGGAAAAATATACACGATGTGATCGTTTATTTCACATTTCATTTATGTAAAATACTATTCGAACCGTTTTAATATTCCTTTTTGTAGCGTCGTACAATGTCAATGCCGGATGAAAATTCTTGTATTTGTGCCTATGCATTTCTGGGCGTACAAAGGAAATTTAAGGAATACAAGGTTGTGTGTTGAAACAACACTTTTCTTAATCCTCACCGTTTCACTATACGCTAAATCATAATGTGTGTACTCAAATTATAATAACGTTACAATTTACCACGAATCAGACAATCTTCCATTCGCAGCGGAAACGAAACGACGGGGAGAGAAAAGTTCTCTACATGTTTCCATTTTTAAATTGTTCAAATTACTAATTACGACTATTTGAGGGAAAAGAAATTGACAGTGAAAGGTTTAACACGATTGTCGCTATGTTATTTTATTTAAAATATGAAATTGTAACGGTCGTGTTAAACGTCTCATTGATAGAGAAATAATGCTCAACGAAAAGGTACAGTTTCATTCAAATTTTAACAAAGGAATATGTAATATTTTATCAAGATACATCACAATGCAAATTTCTTTTACAAGTTTTATAGAATAAAAAATTTGAGGGGCAGAAAATCGTGTTGCAAAAAAAAAATATTACCTTAAGGAAAATAAATATATTTTTGTGGCTTTCTGCTACCTACTCGATCCAGTTGTATAAACGAATAATGGTTCCTGAATATTTCTATTATGCAAAATTATATAATGAAAGCACATATATAAATATGTATTATATAATATAAGAATTGACCGTATTATGAAAAACGGTGCTTCTATACTTCAAAGCACAAGTTTCTGCACTCCAATATATATAGAGGAGTATCCCAATTATGATAGCAAAGTATATTGATTAATTCGAATGAAAAAAAAGAATTCCAAAATAGTTACTCATGTACTGTTACATATTCAAACAAATATAAAACGCATAAACCTGTTCACGTCTTGATAAAAATAATTTTAGATTGATAAGGAGATCTTAATAAATCTATTTTGAAGAGATAGTTTAATCGCGTCAATTGTTCTAAAAGAAAAAGAATTCAAATTCCAAGGTAACTGTATAATACATAAACAATAGCACCTTTTTTTATTATTGTCGTTTAATCACACTTTTAAGACCTATCGACTTCCAATAATTTTCACAGTGAAACATTATAAAACTCAAATATGCGTCACTCTTTAATATAGTTTCACGTGTACATTTATTATTAATAGCAACAGTAATCACATTATGAGTTTAATATTT